CCCAGGTTGCTCTAATAGTGGCTTTTTAGCTCTTCTGAATTGTTGGGTCTGGTGTATTGCATCTTCTTCTTCACAATACCCCATAGATTTTCTATGGGGTTAAGGTCAGGAGAGTTTGCTGGCCAATTAAGAACAGGGATACCATGGTCCTTCAACCAGGTACTGGTAGCTTTGGCACTGTGTGCAGGTGCCAAGTCCTGTTGGAAAATGAAATCTGCATCTCCAAAAAGTTGGTCAGCTGCAGGAAGCATGAAGTGCTCTAAAACTTCCTGGTATGTGGCTGCGTTGACCCTGGACCTCAGAAAACACAATGGACCAACACCGCAGATGACATGGCCCCCAAAACCTCACTGACTGGGGAAAACTTTAATGGATTCAGAAACGTGGATAAAGTCCCTCTTTTTTTTCCCCTCCAACTCGGGGGCCCTTGATTTCCAAAGGAATGCAAAATTTATTTTCATCAGAGAACTGATTTTGGCCCCACTCACCGCAGTCCAGCCCTTTTTCTCTTTAGCCCAGGAAGACGTTCTTGACGCTGCTGTGGTTCAAGAGTGGCTTGACAAAGGAATGCGACAGCAGAAACCTGTTTTTTACGTCTGTTTGGTGGTTCTTGAGCACTCCCCCCCCAGCTGCACCCCATTTTTGTGAATCTCCCCCCATTTTTTTGAATGGGTTTTGTTTCACAACCCCTCCCGGGGTGCGGTTATCTTTTTGCTTGTACACTTTTTTCGACCACTTTTTTTCCTTCCCTTCGCCTCTCTTTTTAATGTGCTTGGACACTGAGCCCTGTAACCCCCTCTTTAGCGAGATTTTTGTGTCTTGCCCTCCTGTGCAAGGTGTCGGGGGTGTTTTTTTTGGCAACTGTCAAGTCAGAGTCTTTCCCCCAGATTGTGTAGCCTTAGAACGAGAAAGACCCTTTTAAAAGGGTTTTGCAGGTGGTTTGGTTAATTACTGATTAAGTGTGGCACCGGGGGCCCTCAAATTTTTTAACCTTTTTACAAAAATTCAATTTTCTGATATGATGAAATTTTAGATTTTCATTTGTTGTCATTTTTAATCATCAAAATTAAACAAAAAAAACATTGAAAATTTAGTTTGTATGTAAAGTATGAAATTTTATAAAAGTTTAAATTTTTAAAAAGGAAAATTTTGAAAACAATCTACTTTTTTATGATTTCTAATTTTAGACCACACCTTATATAGTTATAATATACACGTATATATATATATATAATATAATATATATATAACGTATAATTTAAAAATAAAATTAAAAATACACGTATAATTTTTATTATAATTATTTATATATAATATATATATATATATACGTATTATATATATATATCGTATATTATTATAGTAATATATATTACGAAAAATATATATATCGTAAAAATATATATATATACGTATAAATATATATAAATTATATAATATTAAAAATATATGAATATAATACAACTATATATATATACAATAATTATAATTAACGTATATTATATACCTAAATATATAAACTATATATATAACACGTATATATATTATATATATATATATATAATATATAAAAATATATAAGTATATATATATTATATATATAATAACACGTATATATATATATATATATATATAAGTATATTATATATATATAAATTACACTATAATAATATATTTATAATTTTCGTAATATATAAAAATGTTATATATATAATACGTATATATTATATCGTATTATATATATTCGTTTATATATATTTAATTATTATTTTATCGTATATATTAAAAAATCTAATATATTACTATATATATATAACTATATATATATTACCTATATAAATATAAATTCGTTTTTATATATATATAGTAATTATTATATATAAATTATTAAAATAAACATAAAATAATATACGTATATATATTAATAGTATTATATATAAATTTTACGTAATTAAAATTACGTATATTATAATTATAAAACGTAAATTTATTTAAATATTAAAACTATATATAATATTTTAAAATATTTAAATTATATATTTAAAACTATATAATATATATTAACGATATATATATAATATTAGAATATTTTTTTTATATTTTATATAAAAACTATATATATTATAAATACTTTTATATATATATATATATATTATATTATATATATATTTATATATATATATATATATAACGTATATATTTTATATAAATCGTTTTTATATTATATAATATACGTATAATTTATTTATATATATATACGTATATATTATATATATTATAAAGTTATATATATATATATTTATAATATTATATAATTATATATATATATATATATATATATATATATATATATATATATATATATATATATATATATATATATATATATATATATATTTATTAGGGATGGAACGATTTATGAAAACCGTCCGAACCGTTCGGTTCGACTGTCTCGGTTCGGTTCGCGTGTGTTTCGTTCGGTTCATGCGCTGCTCCTTTTTCTCATAGGCGAAGCGTTTACACTCCAGAGCAGAAGGTGGCGGTACTGCGACCAAAGCCAACCACCAGTAGTAAACAAGAAGAAGAAGAAGCGAAGCAGCGTAGCCGGGTGTAGCAGAAAAAAATCAGTTGTTGTGGAGAATTGTGTGGGTATGGCGAGTGGGAAAGAACAGGAGTTGGAAGACGCGCCAGCAGCACTTTATAGGTCTGCTGTATGGGACCACTTTGCATTTAGAGTGACCTACGATGACGGAGGAAAGAAAGCTCTGGATAAAAGTGTGACAGTGTGCAAGCATTGTGCAACACGTTTTGTTTATGCTAACAGCAACATGACCAACATGTCATGCTAAACCAGAAATCCCACATACTCCATCAGCGCTCCGCCCCGCTGAGCTCCAGACCGGCTGCTCAAAGCAAAGCCTACAGCCTCCGCTGTGGCTCTCGTCCGCTCTGCTCTGAGTCCCTTGGAGATCGTAGAGGGCATGCGCCAGATGATTAAATTTAAAGCAGCAAAAAATGCGGAAATGATCCAGGGTTTCCGCGGATCATTAAATATAATTACAATTTATTAATTTTTTGGGATTTTTTCATTAATTTCATGGATTTTTATGGGATTTTGGTGTAACAATCAACATATACTGAACCGAACAAAAAACCGTGAACACGAAACCGTGAACCGAACCGAACCGTGGATTTTGTGAACCGTTTCACCCCTAGTGTATATATATATATATATATATATATATATATACATATACTAGGGGTGGAATGCTTCACAAAATCCACGTTTCGGTTCGGTTCACGGTTTCATGGTCACGGTTTTTGGTTCGGTATATGTTGATTTTTAGCCTGACATGTTGTTCATGTTGCTGTTAGCATAAACAAAATGTGTTGCACAATGCTTGCACACTGTTGCACTTTTATCCACAGCTTTCTTTCCGCCGTCATCGTAGGTCACTCTAAATGCAAAGTGGTCCCATACAGCAGATCTATAAAGTGCTGCTGGCGCGTCTTCCAACTCCTGTTCTTTCCCACTCGCCATACCCACACAATTCTCCACAACAACTGATTTTTTTCTGCTATGTCGCTACCCGATCCGTACCGGAAGCACGATCCGTACCATCAGCTCATTTGCGCGTGCGCAAACAGAATAACTTCCAGTGGCCTTTTTCTTACTTTTTTATTCTTTTGTATTTTTTAGAGGCATGGGTTTCTTTTTGTATATCTTTGTATGTTCGTCAAAAATGCAATTTCCAAAAAAAAAAAAAACAGAAATACATAAAAAAGTTCAATCGCCTTGTGATAGTTACTTTGACTGCTCTGAGCATGCGCAAATATACGTCACACAGCGTATATATTTAAATTTGTTTAAATATTTGATTTACTCTGTACTTAACTATGCACTCCAGCAGTACTGATCCCACAATGGATTCATTTGCTACCTTTCGTGACCTGCAGTTTTTCATTGATAAGGGAACATTTCCCGAAAATTTGGATTTTTATTCCAGAAAAATGACGTCAAGCAATACAATGGATTGAATTTAAAAAGCATCCATTTCTTCCAGAAAAGTCTTCAATATTGTCTTTACGATGTAGTTTAGTATTCTTTAATTATTTAAGGATATAAATAAAGTTTTTTCAGTACCGTAATTACATTATTTTTTGGCGACCCGGAAGTTATTCTGTTCGCGCAGGCGCAAATGAGCTGATGGTACGGATCGTGCTACCGGTACGGATCGGGTAATGACATGCTTCGCTTCTTCTTCTTCTTGTTTACTACTAATGGTTGGCTTTGGTCGCAGTACCGCCACCTTCTGCTCTGGAGTGTAAACGATTCGCCTATGAGGAAAAAGGAGCAGCGAATTAAACAAATGCAACACACACGAACGGTTTTCAAAAACCGTTCCATCCCTAATATATATCTATTAAAACGGCAAAATCCTTTGTCATTTTTACCGTCGACAGGCTGCAGCCATGTCCCGGATTCCTCGTTTTCCAGCCACTTTTGTTGAAATTTGCATTTTCTTACGGCTTTACGATCAACCGGTTGTCTTTTCAGTTCAGAGGGCCCCCTGCCTGTCTTTGCCTAGGGCCCTACATTTCCTAAATCCGCCCCTGCCCAAAGCTTTCATCTTAAAGTTTGCATATTTCTATCTCCATGAGTCATAGATGCTTTATAAAGCTGCACAACAAAACTTTATGGATTAAATTTCCAATAAAAATGGGAGGATTATTCCAGATTAAGTGGTTTGATGAAGGCAGATTTTTGAGGATATTTCTGCCCCCCCCTCAGCTCTGCTCCCATGACAACTGCTGCTCCCATCCATCCACCTGACAGCGAAGCGGCCCAACCAGCTCTCTGCAGCCGCGCCTCTGATCCAAACAAACACGGGCGGTCAGTAACTAAGCTTAGACAACTTTCCGTAAAGTAAAACTTGGCTAAAGTTCGGCTGTTCGGTGACGTTAGCAGCGGCGGGCTAACGCCGCTAGGAGCCTCTTACCACCAACTTTGTCCCGAGCGGGAAGCGACGTGTTCGGTCCGTCTGGAGGAGAAACTGCCGCCGGGTCACCGCCTCATCGGGCGGACGGTGATGTTCTGACAGCTTGAAAAGCTGCTTTCATTCACAAGCTTTAATATTCTTCCTATTTGGCGCCTCCTTCGCTGAGATCTGTCGCGAGCAGCTCGCGGGAGCGCGCGCGGCAGTGTCCTCAGCAGGGGCGGTCCGAACCCGGAGGAGGCCGCGGCCATTAAACGGGGGGGGGGGGGGGGGGGGGGGGCTTATCTTCTTCTTGTGAGTGTAAAGTACATTACCGCCACCAACTGATAAGGAGTAAAACACGGAAACAGGAAACAACACTCACCTCCAGAAAAAAAAGTAAATAAAAAATAATAATTATTATTATGTTATGATTATAACAAAACAAAATAATTTTCTGAACTGTTTATCTTAACCCAAAATAATAAATACTTAATCACATTAGCCCTCATAATTTCTCATTTATCTTTAAGTCATTGTCACTCTGCCATTTTCTGATGGTCCTACTGGTTTTCCCATCATGTTTTTAACCATTTCCCAGTTTAATTCTTTAACTTCCAGATAGCTTTTCTGCAGCTTTCACTATTATTTTGATTATTTCGGTTTTCATTGTCATCTGAGCACTACAATAGATCAGTTCTACCATGAAAAGAACAAAGTCTTTCTTTTTTACAATCAATGAATCCTTAATTTTTGTTCGCTGCTCCAGGGGTTTTGACTTTGCCATGTGCTGAACTGTTGGTTTGGGTTTTTCTGACTGGGATGGGATCATTTTTGCAGCTTCAACGTAAGTTATTTTGAGCTCAGAGTTCACTTTTCTAATCTCTTCAGATCTTTTGCTCACTTCACAGCCACGATATGCAGCAGTCTGTTCCCCACCACAGTTACAGCATTTGATTTTAGCTTCTTTCCCACATTTTCTATATTCATGCTCTCCTGCACACCTTCCACATCGCTGTTTTCCTTTACTTACTGCTGCTATGTGTCTGATTTTTTGTTTTTGGCATTTAAAACATCTCAGAGGTGGAGGATTGTAAAATTCTACATTGTAGCTCATGTAACCAATTAAAACTTTGCTGGGTAATTGCTCTTTTTCAAATTTAATTGGCACAGATAAGCTGTCACACCTTTCTCCATTTCTTGTTGTTTTTAACTGTTTCACTTCTTTTACTTTTGCACCACTTATATTTTCTAGAATCTGATGACTCCCCTGCTGATCCATTTGTTCTCCACCAAGCTGCAATGAACTCTTTTTCCCTCAATCAATGTTGGAGATAAGATTTAATTTTCTGTAACCATACTGACACATTAAAGCCTGACAGCAAATATGACTTGGCTCTTAACCCTTTGAATTGCATATATAAACTGTTTTTCCTCTACAATGGCAATGATGCATTTTTATGAGCGAAACCTTTTTTTTGGTTCATTTAATTTACAGCAGATGATAGAAAAAAAAAAAACATTCAGTCCAGAAGTTTATGTGGAATCTGTCATCCTAAAACATCAGTGGAATTTATTTGGATCTTATGTTATGGAAAAAGAAAAGGGAGAGCATGATCAGTTACATTTCCATTAAAATATGACAAAGTTGTGTTATTGTTTTTATTATAGATTCAATTCAATTTATTTCTATAGCGCTAATTCAAACTCATGTCATCTCAGGTCACTTTCCAGTTCACCAGATCATCCAGTCAGATTGATTCAAAGTTTTCTATCTAAGGAAAACCAGCTGATTGCATCGACTCATTGACTCTTCAGCAATCTCTCACACTAAGCATGCTTGTAGCGACAGTGGAGAGGAAAAACTCCCTTTGAACAGGAAGAAACCTCCAGCAGAACCAGGCTCAGTGTGAGCGGCCATCTGCTGAGGCCCACTGGGGTTCAAGGAGACAGAAGCAGACATAGAAAAAGAAGCACAGATACAAAAGGCAACTGTCAACCAGCTCCACAGGCGGCCCCGTCCAGGAAACACACAGCCAGGCAGACGAGCTCCGAGCCAGCTCCCATGTCAGAGGATGAACTCTTTTCCCCTCAATTTTGTTGATCCGTATCGCTTTGCCTTGTTGAGGCTGTCTCTGCAGTTTATTACCAGGTCTCCTCTATAGTGGATTCTTGCACTTCGGACTTTTCCTACAAGTTTATTTATTGATTTTATTAACTGAACCAGATTCCAATCTGTGAAAGAGTCTGCCTGATTAACTAGCTTGAATATGACTTTGTAATCATTTTGTTTTCCTGTGGAATTTCTAGATCGATCATCACTTGACTGTTCTGAACTGGACTCCCCTTCAACTGATTTCTGCCTTTTCTCTCTTTTTTTGACTCTACTCTCTTCCAATGTTCTTCGTTTTCACTATTTCCTTCTTCCATCCCACAAGAATCGTTTCCTGTTTCCTCGCTTCTCACACCCCAGGACATTTCTCCACAGTCGACTTAGAACACGCGCCATGCACCACCTCTCTTCCGTCCTCCTGGATCCACCACCCTGCTCTGAGGTTGAGTCACTCTGTCAAACTGTCAATCTCCTCCATCAAACAGGGGGCTTTATTTAGTGAAATATTATATAGACAGGGCTGCAAAGTTTTCACCAAACCTTGGACTGAGATTTTGAAAGAATAATTTAAATGAAACAAAGTGGCCAAATGTGGGATTTTTATAGCACAGTAAATGTTACTGTATAACAATAAGTGTTCTGTAGTTATGTGGAACATTTTTTCATAAAATATACATTATTTTCTATATTCTGGTGATTTTTATAGAATAGAATAAAGAATTATGGGCACTACTAAAATACTTGCATCTTAAATATATATATAAACTAAGAATTTCACAACTTTGTTTATTAATTATTCTCTGCAGTTCAAGTAAAATAACAAATAACTAATGAGTTATTACAGGATTACCGGAACTAATACAGGAACCACTAAAATCGAATCCCGAACAAACTAAACTGGGTATGAATATTTGCTTACAGGCCGAGGATTAAAAATCTTACGTCATTATATTATAAGTTTTTTACAATTGACAAAACAGCTAAAACATTCAGAGCTTCTAGGAGGCTGTAGATTCTATAAAAACTCACCATGACACAATACAGCTCATTATATATATATATATATATATATATATATATATATATATATATATATATATATATATATATATATATATATGCATACAGACACACAAATATAAATACTTATACATAACTTTGTATTCTACCCGTCTAATCATATGTGCCAAACCCGTCCGTTTGATGAATCTTTGGGTTGCGGCCCCTTTAAATGTGGGCGGAGTCAGTGGCCACGCTGCGGTGGGCGGGGTCTGTGTGACAGGAGGAAGAAGGCTTGTAAGAAACAGCCGGATCTTAGCTTGAAAAGCCGGGGCTGTTACCTTCTCCATCGCCGTCTTCTTAACTCCGGGGATCTATGGCAAAGAAAGGGATGAACATCTGGAACGTTTGCTGCCTGCTGCTCTACGTCATCACGGCGGTGCTAGCCAGGTAGGCGGCTCTCCTCCGGAGGGAAGCGGCGGTGGAACGGCGCCGCCGGATGGGACACATGTTTAGCTGTGATTGGTCTAAGCATGTGAGGAGCAGAGCTGGCTGACAGGGAGCTCTGCCTCTGACGGCGGCTGTGTTTTCTCCTTTACTGTGTAAATCCCAGATGTTTTAGCTGTAAAGCTCTAATGTTTTGATGTAGTTAGCAGAGTTAGCTCGGAGTTAGCATCGATTCAGAGGGACTTTAGCTGCTGACCTGCAGCATCCCTTCCAGGACAGGGAGCAGCAGCAGCAGAGCTGTGTGTGTGTTTCTGTAGCTAGAATAACTGCCACCATGACGCCTCTCTCCCTCTCTAATGTAGCCGAGATTTCTATAAGATCTTGGGGGTGAGTAAGGATGCATCCATCAGGGACATCAAGAAGGCCTACAGAAAGCTGGCTCTGCAGCTGCACCCCGACAGGAACCCTGACGACCCCAAAGCACAGGACAAGTTCGCAGACCTGGGAGCAGCTTATGAGGTGAGACAACAGATTCATTCCAGTTAGAGAGGAGGAACAATCACACCTTTATTTATTAACATACTTTAAAACTCCTGGAGCATCTTTATATATAAATGAAATAGATTAAGTATCAAGTTCAACATCTGCAGGAAGTCCTAAAAAGCTTTTGTTATAAAACTCTTGAGCGTTTACAATTATGAAGGATCCAAGCTCTGTGATTGGTCGGCTCCACCGTGTGGCTGCTTCCTATTGGCTGGAAGGCGGACCACCTGGTGCTGTGAAAAGTGGGACGTGGAAGAATGGGAGTGGATTATTATATGAGCTGCAGGTGTTTCCATCCCAAATGATCATGTTTCCTGTAAATGAAACAGATTCTGATCATCCTGGCTTAAACATGTATATAAATGTTCTCTTTATTAGCCCATATTGTCACTAAAATTTGAAAATTTCTATTTAGAAAAAAATCCTGTATTAAATTCTGTGTGTTTATTTTTTTCCGTTATCTTCTGCAGGCCAGTTAGTTCTACGTCAGCCTGAACACCTAAATTCGGTCAATCATATATCAACGGTCATCTGTCAATCAAATTTGTTCAGTCATAGCATCTTGGTTCATATGTCGCAGCTAATATACGCAACGGTTGAAATCAGAATCCTTTCCTTTCCCATTGAGTTCCGTCCCAGTGTTCACGGGGATGGACGTCTGTGTCTTCAGCAGGCGTAGAGCTAACAGAACTGGCGGCGTTGCGAGGCAAGGGCTCAAACATGTACGGCTGGAAGCCTTCTACACCAAACCAAGCTTCTGCCGCCCTGGCGTCCTCTTCCACAACATCTTCGTCCCCGCTTTCCTCCTCTAAATAAAAAATGGATGACGGAGGAGACTCGTCCACGACCTCCGACACTAAACTCTCCTCCTCTTGCATGTTTCCGCTGTCCATAGCGTTCCTTGACAGCGTCGTTTCTAAGTCACCAATTTAGTGCTACTTGGTCCCAATGGAATTTCCCACTTGAAACCTGCTAGCACTAAGTTGCTAAATGGTTAGCAAGATGCTTCCGACAAACCGGCCACAACCAAACTTGCTTGCGAACCTTCAGCCACAACAATCCCGCCCCCTTAATAATCGAAAAAATCACATTCACTTTATTCACTCGTGTAAAGTCGGGCACCACTGGGGAGAATTAGGAA